CGGTTGTTCCTGTGTGCGTAGTTCTATGCGTTTCTTGAATCTGTGGTTGCAGATCGCATTGGGATGGCCGCCTGATTGTTGTCATGCTCTGTTGCCATGTGCGTAGAGAGATGCGGGTTAGCCACGTGATGCTGCAAAACGGATTGTAATGGCTGCATGAATGTTGCATCGGCTTTGTTTTGGGGAGGAAGCCGGAGCACGAAACCTTGCGTTTTGCCGTGTAAAGTGGCTGCGGCCGGCGATGAAAGGTACCTCGTGTGTGCGGCGGTTGCGGCTGCCGTCGTTTCATGCACGAATTGGTTCCTCCTCTGTGTTCTGCAACGAGTGGTTGCTCCTGTGTGCGTAGTTCTATGCGTTTCTTGAATCTGTGGTTGCAGATCGCACTGGAATGGCTGCATGATTGTTGTCATCTGGTGTTGCCATGTGCGTAGATACGTGCAGGTTTGCGACGTGATGCTGCAGCATTGCAATGGCTGCGTCACGGTTGCTTGGCGCCGCAGCTGCATGCGTAATACCATTCTCTTTTGCAGCTGGATATCGTAAATCGTATTGGAGTGGCTGCATCAAGGCTGCGACAGTGATCTGTCAGCAGATTTTTCTCAATTTTGGCGCTGGCAATTTTCCTTTTAAAATTCCTTTTGACAAGTGCTTCAAAATGGTCTTTTTTTCGCCTTGGCGTCGAGATCCCATCCGGTTTTGGAGCTGCAATTTCCGACGCCGTTGCTTTGCAATTCAATGTCTGCAGAGTCTGCAGATCGCATTGTAGTGGCTGCGTCAAGGTTGCTTGGTGCCACGGCTGCAAGCGTAATATTATTGTCTTTTGCAGCTGGATCTTGTAAAAAGAATTGGAGTGGCTGCACCAAAGGCTGCCACAGTGATTTGTCAGCAGATTTTTCAATTTTGGCGCTGGTGATTTTCCTTGTAAAATTCCTTTTAACATGTGCTTCAAAATCGTGTTTTTTCGCTTTGGCGCGAAGATCCATCCGGTTTTGGAGCGGCAACTCCTATTGTCGTTATATGCAAGAAAGCTTCTCTGTGTAAAACATTTTTCTGTAAAAGCTTGCTGCATGTAAAAGATTTTGTGTGTAAAAGCTTGCTATGTGTAAAAGCTTCTCTGTGTGTAAAAGCTTCTCTGTGTAAAAGCTTCTGAGTGTGTAAACGCTTGCCATGTGTAAAAGCACTGTGTGTAGAAGTGTTCTGTGTGTAACCGCTTGCTGTGTGTAAAAGCGTCTCTGTGTAAAAGCTTGTTGTGTGTAAAAGCTTCTCTGTGTAAAAGCTTCTCTGTTTAAAAAGCTTGCTGTGTGTAAAAGCTTCTCTGCGAAAGAAATTGCTGTGTGTAAAAGCTTTCTTTGTGCAAGCTTTTTAGTACAAAGTAGTACTGGAACGTGCTTTATGCAAGCATTGTAGTACAAAGCAGTGCTGGGAAGTAGTTTGTGCAAACTTTGTAGTACAAAGTAGTGCTGGGAAGTAGTTTGTGCACGCTTTCTAGTGGGAAATGCTTTGTGCAAGTTTGTGGTACAAAGAAGTACTGGGAAGTGCTTCGTGCAAGTCTTGTAGTACAAAGTAGTACTGAGACGTGCCTTGTGCAAGCTTTGTAGTGCAAAGAAGGCTTTGTAGTACAAAAGTGCTTTGTGCAAGCTTTGCAGTACAAAGTCGTACTGGGAAGTGCTTTGTGCAAGTTTTGTGGTACAAAGTAGTACTGGGAAGTGCCTGTGCAAGCTTTGTAGTACAAAGTAGTACTGAGAAGTACTTTGTGCAAGCTTTGTAGTACAAAGTAGTACTGAGAAGTGCTTTGTGCAAGTCTTGTAGTACAAAGTAGTACCGGGACGTGCTTTGTGCAAGCTTTGTAGTACAAAGTAGTACCGGGAAGCGCTGTGTGCAAGCTTTGTAGTACAAAGTAGTACTGGGAAGTGCTTTGTGCAAGCTTTGTAGTACAAAGTAGTACTGGGAACGACTTTGTGCAGGCTTGTAGTACAAAGTAGTACTGGGAAATACCTTACACTCCAAGCTTTGTGGTACAAAGTAGTACTGGGAAGTGGCTGTGCAAGCTTTGTAGTACAAAGTAGTACTGGGGAGTACTTTGTGCAAGCTTTGTAGTACAAAGTAGTACTGAGAAGTGCTTTGTGCAAGTCTTGTAGTACAAAGTAGTACCGGGACGTGCTTTGTGCAAGCTTTGTAGTACAAAGTAGTACCGGGAAGCGCTGTGTGCAAGCTTTGTAGTACAAAGTAGTACTGGGAAGTGCTTTGTGCAAGCTTTGTAGTACAAAGTAGTACTGGGAACGTGCTTTATGCAAGCATTGTAGTACAAAGCAGTGCTGGGAAGTACCTTACACTCCAAGCTTTGTGGTACTAAGTAGTACTGGGAAGTGCTTTGTGCAAGCTTTGTAGTACAAAGTAGTACTAGGAAGTGCTTTGTGCAAGTCTTGTAGTACAAAGTAGTACCGGGACGTGCTTTGTGCAAGCTTTGTAGTACAAAGTAGTACCGGGAAGAGCTGTGTGCAAGCTTTGTAGTACAAAGTAGTACTGGGAAGTGCTTTGTGCAAGTTTTGTGGTACAAAGTAGTACTGGGAAGTGCCTGTGCAAGCTTTGTAGTACAAAGTAGTGCTGGGGAGTACTTTGTGCAAGCTTTGTAGTACAAAGTAGTACTGAGAAGTGCTTTGTGCAAGTCTTGTAGTACAAAGTAGTACCGGGACGTGCTTTGTGCAAGCTTTGTAGTACAAAGTAGTACCGGGAAGCGCTGTGTGCAAGCTTTGTAGTACAAAGTAGTACTGGGAAGTGCTTTGTGCAAGCTTTGTAGTACAAAGTAGTACTGGGAACGACTTTGTGCAGGCTTGTAGTACAAAGTAGTACTGGGAAGTACCTTACACTCCAAGCTTTGTGGTACAAAGTAGTACTGGGAAGTGCTTCGTGCAAGCTTCGTAGTACAAAGTATATAGTACTGGGAAGTGCTTTGTGCAAGGTTGGTAGTACAAAGTAGTAACACTGGGGGGAAATGCTTTGTGCAAGCTTTTTTGTAGTTCAAAGTATTCTGTAAAGGCTTTTCTGTGTAAATGCATCTGTGTCTCAAGCTTCTGTGTGCAAAAGTTTCTGCGCCCAAGCGTTTTTTTGTGCAAGAGACTTCTCTCTGACACATGTGAGAAGAGATGGGATGAGATGAGAAGAGCTGAGATGAGGTGAGAAGAGCTCACATGATTTGGGATGAGATGAAGTGTGGAGTGTGAAGTGCGGGGTGTGAAGAGTACAGCGTGAAGTGTGAAGAAAGTCTTCACTTGGCGTTGCATTGCACCGGGGTCGCGCGCAGGTTATGTTCTTGGACACCAACACTGCAACAGCTTCGCACAAAGCACGCACGCTCGGGCCTGCCTGGCGCACGGCGCATGCAATTTCTATAGATGAGAAAAGTCTTATAATATATCCCTGAGGCAAACAAAGTACTGCAAAGCTTGCACAAAGCACATCCCAGCACCACTTTGTACTACAAAGCTTGCGCAAAGCTGTTTCCAGTACTACTTTGCACTACAAAGCTTGCACAAAGCACTTCCCAGTACTGCTTTGTAACACAAAGCTTGCACAAAGCACTTCCCAGTACTACTTTGTACTACACAGCTTGCACAAAGCACTTCCCAGTGCTACTTTGTACTACAAAGCTTGCACAAGGTACTTCCCAGTACTACTTTGTACTACAAAGCTTGCTCAAAGCCGTTCCCAGTACTACTTTGTACTACAAAGCTTGCACAAGGCACTTCCCAGTACTACTTTGTACTACAAAGCTTGTGCAAAGCTGTTTCCAGTACTACTTTGTACTACAAAGCTTGCACAAAGCACTTCCCAGTACTACTTTGTACTACAAAGCTTGCACACAGCTCTTCCCGGTACTACTTTGTACTACAAAGCTTGCACAAAGCACGTCCCGGTACTACTTTGTACTACAAGACTTGCACAAAGCACTTCCTAGTACTACTTTGTACTACAAAGCTTGCACAAAGCACTTCCCAGTACTACTTTGTACTACAAAGCTTGCACAAACTACTTCCCAGTACTACTGCTTTTTACTACAAAGCTTGCACGAGGCACTTCCCAGCACTACTTTGTACTACAAAGCTTGCACAAAGGACTTCCCAGTACTGTTTTTACTACAAACTTCGCGCACAAAGCTTACTGTCGTTGCCAGCACTACTTTGTACTACAAAGCTTGCACAAAGCACGTTCCAGTACTACTTTGTACTACAAAGCTTGCACAAAGCACTTCCCAGTACCACTTTGTACCACAAAGCTTGCACAAAGCACTTCCCAGTACTGCTTTGTACCACAAAGCTTGCACAAAGCACTTCCCAGTACTACTTTGTACTACACAGCTTGCACAAAGCGCTTCCCAGTACTTTAATGATAGTCATGCTTGGTTCGAAGAGTCCGCCTTTCTAAGCCCAATGCTTCCTTTCTAGCATTTTCTTGCTTCAGAAAAAATCGAGTCAAAAGAATATCAGAGGAACTTATCCTTAAAAAATGTGATGAATAATCCCTTGGACGACACTATATTTTTTCCAAGAACTCACCCCAGTGAAAACGCATGGCGCATGTACAGGTGTTAATACGATTGTTTCATGTGGTCTGCTTGCATGATGTTACATGTTCTGTCATGACATGTGGTGCCATCAGGGCTGGGAACATGATATGCCATGACATGGAAAGGCACATGGCAAGCATGACATACATGACAAGTCTAACAAGCATGACACATGACAAGTATGACAAGAATGACATATGACAAGTATGACAAGCATGTGATACATGACCAGCATGACATACATGACTTACCTTACCCTCCTTCCAAACCCTCCAAAATCTCAGCATCAGAAAAGTTATGGCATCATTGATAGCAAAATATTTCATATTTTACATATATATATCTCTCTCTCTCTCTCTCACTCTCTGTGCTCTTTATGCAACGCTCTTTATGTAACACATTGTAAAACACCTCATTCTCTCCTGATCTCCCCTGCCTTGACGCACGCAGCTCCTCAGAATGCGCAACCAGTTCCCTCGCCAGACAGCTGCGGCAAGGTTCACTTAAGGCGCTGAAGACCATTTGCCTCGGCGCCAACAGAACTCGAGCAAACCAAGCCAACCAAGCGCTCAGAAATCCATGGGCCGCCTTTTTGGAGCAATGGGTGACATATGGTGACATTGAGCTGAAATATGTTGAAGTCATGGAATCACCAGTTTCAGCATCAATAACGCATTTTGTATCATTGTGTGGGTTTTGAAGGGGCTCGAATTGGCTTCACTCTGTGCTCCGTCAGGGTGCGCCACAGCATGGCCGTACCGGCTCCTAGCGATGGAGAGCACCAAGCCCGATTCCGTTGCCATGGCATGGGCCAACAGCGATTGCTCCTCACTGAGGAAAAAACATCGAAAAGGATTGCGAAACATCAAACAATAATTTCGCGCATCGATAATTAAGGCGAATGACATCGATATACAATCATGTAATTACAGCAATAATAGCATCGACGCGTTTTAACTTTCTCGCCAGAACCTCTGAATCTTATCATATCCTATCTTGAAAGCTCACGGTGTGCCTCCAAAGGGCCAAAATGTGAGCTGGAACTGCAAACATCGGTTTAAAGGACGCTAAAGGCCGCTAGTTTACTTTCCCTTGCGATATGTTTGCCTGGAGTATTACTCACTGTGGGACCACCTCGCAATACCTCAAAGTGCCACAGTAAGTTCTACAGTATTCCCTTCGTCCCCTCTCGTGCCCTCTCGGGTTGCTACTGAGTTTGCTCCTGTTTGGATGTGTTCATCATAGCCTTCAAGAGCACCGCGCCACCATTGCAGTCAGAAGCAACCAGGACAACCTGACAGGAGCAGTCAAAAATTTGACCTTCAAAGCGTAAAAATC